TTGCATAATACTATTGGCCACACAATATTCAATAAAATTAAATTCTACATAATAACAAAAAAAACTTGCAAAACATCCGATATAGAGAAACAGAAGGAATATAAATTTAACTATCGGATAGGTAGTGTTTAAATATAAAGTTAAAGGGTATAATTGGTAATTTAAGATAACTTATTAATGTATGTAAGAAACTCTAAAAAACTATGCACTATGTTAATTTGTAAAGTCAAATATGTTTTTTTTTAACATTTTGGTCCCTAATAATACTTAGGATTTCATTTGGTCTCTATTATGCTAACTTCCCCGGCTGATGATGGTACACGTTGGATCAAAACTGAAGGCAATGTAGAAGATCATGTATTCGTACCAGACATAGACCTTGATGAAATTGGTGACCACGGAGAACAATTCGTAGACCACTACATTTCACGTCTCACAACGCTTCGAACAATTCCCTGTGGGATATTCACATCCTTAACGTCAAAACATGTGATGCAGAAGCGGTTGTTGTCATAAGATCTCACCACTCTTTGGGAGATGGAATGTCTCGTATGCTCTCATCATGGCATGCACCAAAAAAACATCAGATCATGAGGCGCTTCCTACTATCCAAGTCCTAAAACGGCGTGAAACAGTGTCAGGCCTTAGAAACACAGGTTGGTTCTTAAGGTCGATGCTAGCTATTTATTATGCAATGAGATTGATTTGGAATACCGTTGACGATCTTCTGCTGCTCTTGGCTACCATCTTGTTTTTTAAGGATACAGAGATGCCTCTAAAGGGTGGTGCAAGTGCTGAGAGCAAACGGAAGAGATTTTGTCATCGAATTGTCCCTTTAGATGACATTAACCATATAAAGAACGTGCTGGTAATGGTAAGTTACTAATTTTCTAGTAATGATTTCTTGAAGCTAGTCCTCATAAAGTGTTTCTCTTGTTTCATGATCTTATTCCCATCTCTAGACTATCAACGATATTCTACTTGGAGTTACACAAGCCGCTCTCTCGCGCTATTTGGGGGACAGATTTCACCCATATGAGATCGATATGGCGACGAGATCAACTCCGCATCGTCCTGACGAAATCAAAGCAAGTCTACAAAAACCCACTCTGGATCTAAGCCCAAAATGACATTAAACTCATAAGCAAAATGGACTTAATGAAATAATGGGTATAAATTAGATATATTGGTTAATGGGGCAAACCCATTTTATTAGCTGGCTCATTTTACTTAGAAACACTATATATAGTTCATTGACTCACCCAAAAAGGAGATCAAAAATTTATTTGATAAACACTTGTATTCTGCAACAGTTTTCTAACAGCTTAATAAAAACTCTATTGAGATCTATCGTTTTAGTGGTTTTCTCACAGAAATTTTCAGGCCCTAAAAAGTTACCAAGACAAATTCTAATTGTGAGATTCGACTCCCACAGCTATTTGAACGGATCACATCGTAAACATTAAATAGCAATAATAACACACACACATATATATATATACATGTTTGTCAAATGAATGTCCAACGTTTATTGCATTTATATGTTTCTTCTTGCCTTTAAAAGAAAACTAGATTTTGACCCACGCTTGGCGTGAGATTAAATATTTTAATATGCTTTCTAACTGATCTTAATATTTAGACGTGTATTATAATATTTATAAACTTATAAACTGATATATATGGTGCATAAATGTAATTAAGTTAAATTTTGATCAAACAATTTTGATGACATATGTTTTGATCAACTTAGCATAAAAATATTAAAACTAATACAAATGTTATTTATATCAATTAATTTGAAATGTAAATAAGTTTTTATGATGTTTAAATTATAGAATATGCAATAAATCAAATGAATTTTTATATTTATATGAATTTGTCGGACATGACAAACAAAAAATATATATTTTTTAATAATAAAATGTAAAAATATTTGTAAGTGTAGTACTCATCTACAAATAAATAATGTTGTTACAAATATAGTAATGAAAAACTTCTTACTATATCAATTTCAAAAATATATTGTAAGCCTAAATATTACATTTAGTTAAACTTAAATCTGTAGAACATGTATTAATGGATTTATATTATAAAATTAATAAAAATATGTAAATTTTTACCATGGCGTATAGTTTTAATTGAAATATTTTCATTGGTTAATTTAAATGACATGTTCCTTAAAAATCTTATTGAATAACACATATGAATTATTCAATAAGTTATTCAATATATAACACATATGAATTATTCAATAAATGACATGTTCCTTAAAAATCTTATTGAATAAGTTTTCAAACCCTAAAAAGTTACTAAGACAATTTCTAATTGTGAGATTCGACTCCCACAGCTATTTGAACGGATCACATCGTAAACATTGAATGGCAATAATAATACACACATATATATACATGTTTGTCAAATGAATGTCCAACGTTTATTGCATTTATATGTTTCTTCTTGCCTTTAAAAGAAAATGTGGATGAGGATGGAGGTGCATCGACACCAATTCTGAATAGTATTCCAAGTAATATACGAGTTCGTGCAGGTGTTTTTGTAAACCTAAGGTCGGACATGGGAATTCAGGTTAGGAACATGCACTTTTAAGAATCTGCACTCGCTTAAAATTTTCGAAAATAATACATTTATTGTGACACAAGGCAATTATGAATGAAGCCAGATATGATGGCCAAAGATTCGAGAAGCAGATGGGGAAACCACATCAGCCTAGTCCTTTTACCGTTATCCATTGGTTTAGAAACCGATCCATTAGTTTATCTATCAAAAGCTAAATCCACGATGGATCGGAAGAAAAACTTTCTTCATGCTCCTATGCTATATTCGATTATCGAGTTCATTTTTAATGTGCTTGGTGCAAAGGTATATAAAATTATCAAGTGTACTCAAATTAATTGCTTTCTCTATATGCGGAAATTATATAAGATTCTGGTCATTATAGGTAGGAGCAATATTATTCAAACGAACAGTGCAAAACACAACAACATTCATATCAAACGTCATTGGCCCAACGGAAGAAATTAGTTTCCATGGCCATCCAATTAGTCTATGGACACTCCCAAGTCCCAAGTATGTAAAATTAAAGAGAAAAAAACTACTCACTAGTACTGATCTCATTCCAATATTTTTTTCGTCTTAATTATATATGTTTTGTGATTAATAGACATTGATGATTCATTTTCAAAGTTATGCGGATAAGATAGTAATCTCGGTAGCAGTTGATCCAACAGTCATACCGGATCCTCACAAGCTATGTGATGAAATGGAGGAGTCTCTGAAAGCTATGAAAGCTGTTGTCGCACAAAGAGGGTTACTTATTAACAGCCAATAGGCAAGTACCCTTACGGATGAATAGTATGTAAGTCTTTTGTTTGGTGGAAAATGCTCTTCTTAATTTAGAAAGCCTTCTTCAATGTTAAATATTCGAAATTCTACTCACGTCTCGTTTTATACTGAATAAGATGATTGTCTCTTAATCAAAGTGGGTTGGGATGTGAAAACTATCTATTCCATTGATAACTCACCATGCAAAATTTAAATCTCATTTTTATCGGACAAAGTCAACAACCATTAATATAAATATGTTTTACAAATATTAGGTCAATATGTCTATATTAATTATGATAACATGGTAAGATAGAATAATGATGGAGGAACCGGTGTACATAAAGGAAACAGAACGAGTCGGTATTGTGACAACAAAAGAACTTAAATTAGACATCTATCTCATATAAACCTCTTTCTAGAACAGAGGATTTAATTAACTTGAGAGACTCGACCAAATCATCACACATCTTGTGAGGGTCAGGAATGACCGTTGGATCGGCCGTTACCGATATGATGATTTTGTTCACATAACTCTGGAAATGTAGAGTAAGCGCCTTCACACACATACGTACATAAACCAAAATTAGAAGGAAAAAATGATAAGCAGAAG